GTGGGACTTGAGTGGGAGACGAGGGGGACTGGAGCTGCTGGGGGGCCGACGCCGCCGGGGTTTGGACAGTCGCAGCCCGTGTCTGCGAGAAAATTCCTGGGGGTGGATTCCTGAGCGGCCGGTATACCTGGGCTCTCTGGGGCTGGGGGTGCGCCACCGACCAAAGCCCTGCCCTTCCCTGACTCGCTGGGGGATTGTCAGCGAGGGGCCAGTGCTCTGTGAGCAGGAAGCAGGGTGAGGGCAAGGGGGTGTCATGTGATGAGTCTAGGCGTGGAGGCAGAGCCAGCTGCCCTGCTGGAATGATGCAGCAGGTGCCGAGAGGGGCAGGTGATGGGGAGCAGGTGGCCAAGAGGGGACAAGTGATGTGGGGCAGCAGGTGGTCGTGGGGGAGCAGGTGGTTGTGGGGGAGCAGGAAATGGGGAGCAGGTGATGTGGGCCACGGCAGGGGCACATCCTGAGGACGTGTGCTGGGCATGTGGAAGGGCAGCGGGGCGGGTGGGTGTGTAGGGGTAGGGTGGGGGTGAGGGTCTTCCCACGTCGGTATTGCTCGGCGGGCCACGTAAGCCTTTCCTAAGGGACAGAGATGGTGCCATTGCCGCACGTGGAGCCGCAGAGGGTGCTGGGCGAGAGATGTGTGTTTGCCGTTTGGTCCGGCCCTGGCTTGTCCACGGCAGCGGACTCGGCTTTGCCTGCTCTCCCCAGTGTCAGCCAAACCGCATGACTGCGGCGGTTCAGGAATCAGGCTGCAGATGGCCAGGCTAGTCACATGGATGGACCACGAAGGGTGCAAACAGGCTGACGAGGGGCGGCAGCGGCCTCCTCTGGGCCCTCAGCTGCTGCCGCGGAGCTAATGCCTCTTTGTCTTCCCAGGACGTCAGCATCCTCTTCGTGGTCTCAGGGCTGCTGCACGTGTACCAGCGTGAGATCGACAGCAAGGAGGACACCTGCTTGTTCCTCACGCACCCTGGGGAGATGGTGGGCCAGCTGGCTGTGCTCACAGGCGAGCCCCTCATCTTCACCATCAAGGCCAACAGGGACTGCTGCTTCCTCTCCATTTCCAAGGCACACTTCTATGAGTGAGCCCCTTGCCCCCGGGCCGTGACGGTGTGAGCGAGGGCAGCGCGAGCGTGCGGGGCGTTGTGGCAGTGTGTGTATGTGCAGCGGTGTGTGTGGGTAATTGCGCAGGTTTGTACGTTTGCACATGCATGTTAGCACGCCGATGGTACGCATGTGTGTGCAATTGTGTGTGGTAGCTTGTGTATGGTGATGTGTGCACGTGTGTGCACACATGCATGTGCATATATGTGCATGTTAGTGTGGCCGTGTGCGTGTGTGTCCATGAGCATGTGATGGTGTGAATGTGTATGGCAGCGTGTGTGCACACGTGTTTGTGTATCTGTGTTAGTGTGTACATGCGTGTGTGCGTATGTGTGCATGTTAGTGTGGCAGTGTGCGTGTGTGTCCATGAGCGTGTGATGGTGTGAATGTGTATGGCAGCGTGTGTGCACACGTGTGTATCTGTGTGTTAGTGTGTGTGCGTGTACGGGCAGCAGCATGCATGGTGGGTGGGTTGGGCAGTCAGACAGCGCCATGGCCTTCTTCCCCCCTTGCTCTCTGGCCTGGTGTATTCTTTGGGGTTCACACTTTAGTTCTTTCATGAGGCCCCTACAGACCCCTAGGGTTGCTGGGCAGTGCTAGGGAGTCCTGGCAAGGCGGGCTTCCACAAAACACCCGTGGCTCCTGCTGC